AGGAAGAGGAAGAAGAGGAAAATGACATTGTGATAGAAGAAGAAAAGTGTAGAGTGAAGACTTATCAGGATGCTGCCAACAGTTTAAAGGTACTGCAGGAGTTTGCCATGCAACGGAATGATTCAGACATGCTTACTCTAATTTCTCAAGCTAAAGTGTTTGTGGAAAGTCAGGCAGCCAAGAGAGTAAACTGTGTGCAAAAAAGTCTGCCGGAGTTCTGGTAAAATTACAAAAAGTGAGTACTGCAATTTTTCCCTGTTCAGTGTAATGTTTGCATGTGTTCAATGATTATAGTGTGAATAAATTAATGAGCATGTTGTTTTGTTTTGTCTCAAATAAGTTTATGTCCTGGTTTAGTTATTATAGTATACCTTGATTAAACGGAAACCTGGCTTCAGCGGAAAATTTTTCTGGTCCCTTGAGATTCCATTTAAGACAGGTTTTACTGTATAAGACAAATTCAGAAAACATGATATGGGTGGAAGTGTTTTGTGTTATTATCTGTGGTTTGTTTCAGTAGCATAACTTCCATATTCTGTATTGAGGGGGTGGGTTTCCCCATGCACTTAGACCGGTTAGTGGTCCATTGTGCGTCCCCCTTTAATTTCTACTGTCTCCATACCCTACTGGTACTGGTGCTTACTATCAGCCCCTTTCTGCCAGCAAGGTTCCAACCTCCTCTGGCAGTGGTATCTAATAGTTAGTCCCTTTCTATCAGAGAGGTCCCCCCTCCTCTGGCAGTGGTACCTAATACTTCCCCCATCTACTGGAGGAATTGGAAACTACTTGGGCGGGAAATGTTGCCTAATTTTGCTCAGAGGTCTCCTAGAGACATGAGGTTCTTTTACGTGCCGTAAATCTACGACACGGGACCCACGGCTTAAAGTCCCTCCCGGAGGACTTTTTCCCTGAATTTTTCCACCCTTAAAAATTCCACGACCTCCGCTGGGTTTTTGAACCCACGTACTACGAGTCATGAGGTGGGAACGTTACCTCTAGACTACGGAGGCCGCTAGTAGCATAACTTAGGTGAAACTAGTCTTTTCATAAGAGAACTACAATTAATTTGTGATTGGTATTGTGACGTGTCTACTGAAAGACAGAATAGCAGAACTAGAGAAGACGTATATTGCTAGGCAGTGGCTATGTTAACATGTTTCCATGGCTACCAAATCACATGATCACCACAACAGATACAAGCACAATAAAAACACTGTATATTGATGATTTAATGGAGAATTAATTGACCTGATAAATAAATGTCAACTGCTGAATGAAAACTCAGTACTGTGCAGTTCATTCTTGCATATCTCATGCGTTCTGTCAATGTTCTATAATGTCTATAGCTTACCTACTGTATTCAGTAGCTCAGATTACATACTGCCAATGGTAGATTTAGTGAATGATAAAATAGGAAAGATGTGGAACGAAATGGTCATGATGTAATCGGAGATATCAATGCAGAGTTTGCCTGAAGAGACTGAAGTAGAACACAAAAAACCTTGGATAAGACTTGAACCCTGAACCATCCAAATACAAACAGGAATACTAACCACCTGACACAACATTTTGTTTCTGACAAGTGATTTTTGTTCACAATTGTATGATAAAAACAACCTACATCTCTGTTAAGATCTGATATTTCTAGAACAGGGTTTCATTTAATATTTGCTGTCCATGTGGAGTGTGTGTGATCCATGTAGACAGATCTATACCAGGATAAACTTTCTTGGCATCCATTTTGCCTTTCTTCAACATAATATCACAGTCATTGATTTAACTGATATAAGCAGATTTAACCAGTTATCTTTCTTAAATAATCTGCTAAATATTTTGGTTTTAACAACTGGCCACATAGTCTGTATCTTTATTCATTAGTGCACCCACTGTGGCAAGACATTTCTAACCAGTGGCTATTTGGAGGCACACCATGTGCGACGTCACCCTCATATAACATTCATGCATTTGCCGGATACATTGCGCAGTGAAACTGAACGCCTGCAATCAGAAATAAAGGGACTGAAAGAAAGACTCAACAACACAGAAAGGTTACTGCACAAGGAATCAATCCAAGATATCAAGGTTAATATGCATTTTCTAATTTCTAATAATCAACTATATAGTGCACGACTAGTATACATGAAACAAAGTTCGTATATAGTTCAAATTTCAAACAGCACAAATTCATATTTCCATTGTTGTGGAAAAAATGAAATGCTACACTTATTGACAGCTAGAGTTTTTGCATCAGTTAAACACTCTGTATTAATTAAATTAGTTTAGTAGATTTCTCCCATATCCTCATTTTACTCTCACATAAATGTTTCAGTATATAAGTGCAGTTTTACTTTCATTAGCAATGACTGTTAAAGTCTGTGAATGTAATGATTATCGTATAACAACGAATTATAGACAAAACTCAGCTCAAATGAGAAAAGTTAAAAGCCCTTGTCAATTTATGAAAATCTCATGATAGCCAGTTCCTCAGATGAGACAAGACACATTCTTATCAAAATTTAAATGTGTAATTAACTTTGGCTGCTTGCAAGGAGAAAGAAGAGGCTCAGGATAGGGGTGATGATTGGACTGAAGAGAAGAGGAGGATGGTACAATGGCAGCAGACACAGCAGAACAAGTATCTGAATGAGATTGCTGACCTCAAAACTGTATTTTACAATGAGATTAAGGTATGAATTCGCACGTATAAATGTACGTATATATATATATAATTTCTAATAATGATTGCTACAATTATCTGCTAGTCATGAAGAATATTGTTTTCTGTATATGTTACTGTCTCATCACCAAAATGCAGGGCAAAATCATGACATAAAGATAGGAAACAGATGTTTTGAAAATGTGGCACAGTTCAGATATTTGGGAACAATGATAACAGATCGAAACCTGATTCAGGAGGAAATTGAGA